GGAAGCTGTGGAGGGTTTCTGAGCCCAGGAAGAAGTGCTATAACATGATTTATATTTTTAAAATATCATTCCTACCACTGTGTGGAGGATAGACTTGTGTGTGTGTGTGTGTGTGTGTGTGTGTGTGTGTATTTCCACCCAACTCTTCTCCCTTTGCTCTCTGACAACACGGACCTAATTGTAAATCCCTCAGCATGCACTGCCCTTTCACACCCCAGTGCCTATTCCCTTGACCTGAAACACACTAGTCCCTTCAAACCCTGCCCCATCCTTCAGATCTTCATGCAAATGCTACATCTCATGGGAAGCACTCTGTTTTGTACACTCTTCTATTTTAAGTATTGGTTTCTATGACTCTATCCCCATGAGACTCTGACCTGCCTAAAGGAAGGACTATGCCTTTCTATTTTTCATTTCCTCAGACTCTATCATAGTGCCTGACACATAGTAGACCCTCAATAAATATTTGATGCCTGCATAAACAAGTAAATTAACATACTCACATAAGATAATTCTGCCAAATTTCAAGACAAAGCCTCGAAGAATATTCACTTAGTCATTCATCATGTCTAGAGGATGGAAGATGCCAAGCCAGCAAATTCACAAAATGTTGGCTCATTTATATATGATGGTGTAGAGGTAGGAGTGAGTCAGATAAAGGGGGAAGGGGAACAGAATGTGGAAACACCTAAGAACAGGAAACAACATGAATGTGGAGATCCTAGCAGAACTGAAGCCCTGGAAACAAGGATAGAGTAGGTTGCTGGGGAGCTGATGACAAAAGGCTGGGAGGCTAAGGTGAACTAAATAATGTGGACCTAACTCGATCCAGCTTTAGTTTGAGACCAGTCACTTTGGCAGTGGTGTGCTTTATTACCAGGAAAGAGGGTCAGTCTGGCAGGAAGAGGGCCTTTGGGATGCTGCAACAGTGACCCATGTAGATGTGACTGGGACCTAAACAAGTAAAAATTCACAGGATGGAGCACATTACAGGGGTATTGTAAATGCAATATGTACAGTAATTGGTATAGTGGGAGGGGCAGAAATTCCACGAGTACCTTTCCAGAGGGGGGCTGGGAGATCATCACTTCTCCAGTTGAGCTAGCAGATGGAAGATTTTTAGGGGAAACGATGATGATTTCACTTGTATAAGTGTTGCGGTTGAGGTAGCTATGGAACAACCAGGTGGAGGTGTCTAATAGGGAAAAAATATAGAGCTCATTAGAGAATTCCAGTGAGGAAATAAGGATTAGGGAGCCACTGAGTGAAAAATAATAGTTGGTGCCAAAGATTTAGAAAGCACCCAAGAAAGGTGCAGAGGGTGAGAAGTACAGAGGGCCAAGGATGAAGTTATGAGGAGTCCTGGAAGGAACTGATAAAGAAAAGGATGGGGCAGCTAGTGATCTAGGTTGGTGGGGCAGCTCTGCAGGCCTCAGCACATGGTTTACAACTTTGGTTCCAAGGCTGCTGTTGCAGTTAAGGCCTTTCTCAGAAGGCTAGAGGGGGACAAAAAATAGTCCAATGAAATCGGCTTTCTCTTTAAGGACATGACCCAGAAATTGCACAAATGCTCAAATCCCATTGACTTAAACTTGGTCACAGAGATGAATCTACACGCAAGGGAATCTGGGAAATGTAGTCTGTCACTGGGCTACTCTGTGCCCAACTAAAACATGGGAAGATTCTAATACAAAACGGAAGAAGAGGAGATGGGTACTAAGGGGCACAATTCTGAGACTGTTTTCTTTTAAATATTTTGCTGATATCTATCTCAACAAGGACAGCTTTGACCAGGGAAAATGAAAAAAGGGAAAGA